AATCAGAAGTTACAGCAACTAGTAATGGTTAACTTTTTAGGATAAAAGATCTTGACATTGCCAATTGATCTCTTGTATATGTTTTAGATGTTTAAGATAGTGAATATACTTGTAGAAGATATTACTGGACAACAGGCATCTAAGACATATTATCATAGCTATTCTTTTAGCCAGAAATCAATTATCATTTTGTATAAATAGTCAGGAAATATATTTAATAAAAAGCATCTTTATTCTTATCAAAAAAACTATTCTTAAAACTTGACGATCCCCAGTGGTATTGATTCTGCAACTTAGTTACAAATACCAGAAAAGAAATACCAGATTGAGACTTGACAAAGTTTTCAGACATTATTTTGATAAATCTGTAAAATCTGAAAGTAGTTAACTACAGTATCTCTTTATATGCAGTAACATCTTTCTGAGCATTACTCACAGTAGAATAACCCTTTCTTTAATTAAATAATATATAAACTACTGTGAATAATACATAGTATTAGTTTAGAAGACTATATAAAACAATTCAATTCATATTAATAAATAACATTTTTTATTCTCTCTTTGATTTTATGTATATGTTTTAATTCCCAGAAGGTTTAACTTTTTAACTGTGTTATAGTAAAAGTATCAAGTTTCAATCTGATGTTTGTTTTCTAGCACTTGTAACTAAGTTGTAGAATTAATTTCACTGGAGATTGTCAAGTTTATAAAATAGTTTTTGAATAAAAATAAAGATAATTTTTATTAAATATTATTGTATCTAACATAATTGTAAATTCAAATATAGTACACAAATAATAAGATAAAGACATATTGAATAAGTAATTAATATTTATTATACTTTATTTTTCACACTATCATTAAATAAAAAATATATCAATAACAAGATTATACACCTTAGTCAATATCGCTAATCACTCAAATAAGAGTATGAGTAATAGCTTAATAATATATTATCTATGATATAAAACAATTGACATCATATGATATACTCATATTCACTGGAAAAATGACCTGACATACGTATGTGTAAAGGCGTAGTTACTCAGGTGTCAAGATGAGGTTTAATATTGAGTCCAGATACATATCACCATGTAACAAGTTCGTCTTAGCACCATGTGCCATGACCAGCTATACACATGTGTGGGGTCAAATAAAAATGATGGGGATATAGTTCTTTAGCACTTTCGGTGTGCTGATCTGACTTGGGATATTGAAAAGAGTTTTTTGAAACCAAGGTTTTATTTTTATATGTTTTATATGGAGCTTTAAAGGTGGATAATATATTTATTTTCGATCTTGACACAGTAGTATAGTTCAACATTACACCTCTTCGTTATCTTTTATATCCAATTAAATTCAATACTTGAGCAATTCTTTGGATTCTGAACCATAGTATAGTTCAATCGTTTTTATTTTAATTTCAGAAATTGTTTTATTGGTAAAAGTTTATAATAGTATTTATTTGGAAAGAACAGAATGTTTCTAGAACTATAACAATCTTATAGTATTGATTTATTGGATATCCGTTATTGCTTCTACTGGTCTGCTTGATACTGTTTGAATAGAATAATTATCTACAGAAAAGAAATACCTGAAAATATAAAAAGAAAGCAGACTGTTTGTTGAAATACAACAGTCTTTAAGAAGCATAGAAAAAATTATTAGCTATGTGTGCTGGGTACTACATTTAATGTAGTATGCTTTTATATTTTGCGTACACTTTTATACTTACATTGTAAATATTGGAAAAGAGCGAGCAAAAAATAGATGTCAATATTGATAATCCATGGCATTCCTTATAATATCTTTCACTATAAAAACAACGAAAAACATTAATTTTTGTGAATCAAATAAAATAATAAATAATTTACATACCAGTAGCAAGAATATATATTAACAGAGATAGATTGTCTTTGTAAACACTTGATAGAACTCTAGTGAAAAATAATAATATTTTATGTTAACACATTATAATATTAATATAACTAAAATAAAAAATAAAGTAGTGATCCTTACCATGTAATGTCATTTCCAGCTGTATAATGTAAGGGAAATCAAAGACAGGATCAACAGTGTTCATCTATAATAAGACTTCATTTTAGTAAGATACATGTCAAAATAATATATATATATATACTACCTTGATGTTTTTAACCAAATTCATTTGTAGCAGTTATTCTTGATGATCAAGTCTGTAATAAAAAAAACAAGTCAGAAGGATTTTTATAGATGTCAATTTCGCAAAATATAATATTGACCTTTGTTAATCTGGACAGTGATTGTGAAATGAATGCATTTAAATGAGAGCAAATGAGTATCTATTATGATAATAAAAGAATGTATTAATTTTTATTGTTTATAAAAAAGTATTTAATAAAGAAGTATGTTACCAAAAAAAAGCCACTAATATAATAATGACAAACGTTGGAAAAGAGGAAAGGAGCAGAAAAGAAGAAAGAAAAAGACGTAAATTTTTTTTTCGCATTTGAAACAAAATACCGAAAAGCTTATCCAATAAACGATAGCAAAAAAAAACTGAAAAGAGATGATCAATTGAGGCCAAAAAATGTATCAAGGCCGATTTGCATCTCAGTGTTTCAAGAAGTTGTCTTTGAAGTGTTCCTGAAGCATCACTACCGCCTATAAATACTTAATATTTCTACTTGCAATTCAATGTCACTCACTCTTGATTATATCATCTCAACAAATCTATGTTGCGAATTTATTGTAATTTACATAACATAATAGATGGATTGTCTCTTACAAAAGAGAATAAAAAAGAAAAAGAACTAATATTAACAATTGAAAATATTATAATGTATTACAGATAATGCCTACCCCCAACTGCAGACTCGCTCCTTCTCTTGCTAGCACTGATGTCCAGTTGCTACAAGCTTTGAATGCGATGAAAGAAGAGATGAAGGCCATGAAGGATAAGATCACATTGATGGATACAAGAATCGGTGTAGTGATCACCGGTAATGCAACCGCCATTAATGGCATTGATGCCTTGTCTGCCCTCCCAGCATCTGCGCATGTGCTCACTAGTGTTGCATCCACTTCTGCTGCCCTTCCCATCACCGAATCAAGTGATACTAACGCTGTATTTGTAAGTATAAAGATACAAAAGACACTTGCCAATCTTGTTGCTAATTAAAATATAATAGGGATACATTCATGGTTATATGTGGAACCCAAAGCTAAAATCAAGAGACCAGGCAGAAATCCAAGCAAACGCCATAAAACCAAAGTGGACAGTTGATGTTCATTTTGATCGCTCTCCAAATAGAGAGTTAGTCAAACAACTCTTGTATTACTTGGAAAAGAAGTTTGCTGGCACTGATATGAGGACACGCGACCTTCGTAAGTGTATATATACAAACTTCTGTAGTAGACGTCGCCAGCAAAGGGAACTTCCGGAAACAAGATGAGCCTTGAATACTAATTCAAGAAGATCTGGCCGTGAAACTGATGTAAACTATATTTTCAATTTATGCTAAATAATAACAATTAGAATATTAATTGTATTGTCTTTTTCCTTTAGAACTACACTCGCCATCACCTTGCTTATGATGCTTACAAGGCTGACATTGATCTCAAGATGGGCCGAAACTGCTCTGGACTGATCCAAAAGTCGGTCATGTCTGAAGGCGAATCAGACGATGATATGTCCCCCTCTCAGCCAAGAAATGAGATTCGTGTTGCTCGCCCAAGTTGGAGAAGTGACGAGGTAAAACCTAACAGTTTTCTTTTTTGAATGATACCAAGCTGAATGTTAATATATGTTTATTACTTAGCTTAACAAATTCATTACGGAGGTTGACTCGTTTGTTGTTAAGCAATTGGGTGCAAATTCCCACCAACTGCTTAAGAGAGTTTATGGTAGAACAGTGGAATCAACAGTCCCAATTGATTTAGATCCTGCTCTACCTCAATGGGCTCTTAAATATGGGTCATAAATAAAACTCATTTTTTGTCATTTTTTTTTTCTTTTACTATCAAAATTTCTTAACACATATGTATTGTTCGCAATATATATAATAAGACTACATTAGCTTATGTATTGAAATTTTTTATTAAAAAAGAAATGTATTAAATATTAATTGTATTGTTTGTGTGGTAAAGCGTTGACAAGTATTTTCTTATTATTTGTGCTGGTTTTATAATCACATGTTGCAACAACTGATGATATTCGATGTACTGGCAAGATGGATTCAAAATCACATGCAATAAAATCTGCACTGCAGATGTCAACACTTTCCAACTCTCTTGAACGGTCATGCTCAATCTGGAACCACTTAACAAACGCAAACACGTGTTTATCTTGATAAATGACACGTGTTTGGAGCTCTGTGTTGTCTACTGATGGAGTGAAAGAGTGCAAGAACAGATACTGAATTTGGCCAGTGTATGCCAACCGATTATTGCCTTGACTTCCAAGGAACAGAGATTGAACAAATGAGCTGCAACCAGAAGTATATTTGCAGCCTTTGTAAACCTGACCAAGCAAATTGATTGATTTCAACTTTATGATTTGGTTGTTGACAAAGGAGAATGGAGAGGAGGGATGCTGGTAACCTTCAAGATTTGGCATGCAGTATGCGACTTTATAGTAATCAAGCAAATGAGGATAGTCGACATCACTCATTGCTGATGGGGGTTCAATATGGAGAGGAAATGCGGATGGAGGAAGAGGTTCATTGCCAAGAACTGGAAGAGAAGGGTTTGAGTATGCTTGGATGAAGGCTGATAGTCTGAACGGGCGCTGGGGAAAAGTTATTGTATTTTTTGAAGTGGAGGGTTGAGCTGTGGCAGTAAGCTTGGCGAGAAGAGGAAGAAACGGTACTTGGCTTGGGCATGTGAGAGCAGCATGAACAAAATCACCTTTGAATGTATCTTGGACGAAACTATTCATGTATGTAACCTCAAAAAAATCTTTTCTGTTCGTATTCACGTTCTTTAGCAGACCATTATATCACTCAAACCCGAAGAGCCAATATCCATATACTGGTCCAAAATCACAGATGGTCTCGCGAAGATGGAGATGTAAATGCATGTTACAGGTGAGAATAGTTGGAGTGTAAATACGCTGGCACTCAGTACAGAATTCTTGAAGAAATTTATGGCCGTTGTCAATGTCAGAGAATGTGATGCTTGGCTTTACTAATTGGTGGCAGGCGTCAACAAAACTGATCCAATTTCTGAACATTTCAATTGGCAGGACGGCCTTCAACAAGATAGGTGAATACACTAGCACCCAGGACTTCCATTCATCAGCTTTCATGTATGGAAAGCCCTTTCCAATCTTCGATTTCAACACCACGTAATCCATTGGCACCACCATTGTCTCTGCCATTGTTTGCATCGTAGCTAGCTATCTATTGTCTATCAGTCCTTCTTTTATCTACCACTCCATCATTCTCTTTGGTGTCCCCAGGAATAAATTATGCATGGGATTGATGATCGTTCCATGTACTAGATCAAAGTATCCAAGGCAATGCAGCTGCGACCATCGAACACCATTTTCGATTTCCAACTGATGCCTTTCTGAGGGCATACTGGCACTCTTCCACTCCTCAGCATGCAACCTGTTTTCCAGACTGCTACGGATTTTCCATGTCGAATAGTCGAACCCACTGAAGTCGACCTGATTGGTGCTTGGTAACCTGGTAAACTGCCTCACACATCTGGGGCATGCACAAGTACTGTTGTGGGTGGTGAATCCACTGGTCTTCCTGGCAGCGGGGATGTCACAGGCAACCATATGTAACGCGGCACGTACATTAACACCAGCTGGGCACTCAAAGGTCGGGATGGTTATCCCCGTAAACAACTGCAGCAATTCATGGACTATTGGCTTTAAATAGTGGTTGATCTCTTCGGTCTTTGGCTCCTTAGGACCAGGCATCAAACCAACAAGGATGACATTTTCAGGCTTAAATCTTTCCTCACAAGGCAAGTTATTTATCGCAAGGTAGATAGCTCCAGTTGAATATGTAACGCCATCAAATGGCTGGAACCAGTCGATGTTCATTGTTAGCATCAATGAACGAGGTTCATCCACAAACGATACGCCACTTTGGTCCTTTAGCTCCTTCCACATAGCACTATCATAGACGTCGCATAGTGTATTTACGACCTTAAGCTCTTTGTTCCATTGTCTGATTTTTTGCTCGAACCCAGAACGAAGAAAGAAAACTTGTAATGATCTCTGGATAGAGTTGTAGACGTATGATCGCTTGGCTACCATGGCACCAGAAGATGAAACCTTCATCAATTCATAATTGCATGCTGATCAAGAACCATGCTTTTTGAAGTCGCAATGAGTAGGGAGAGGCACATCTTGTTTGTAAACCTTGTGGCAGTCTTCACATACAACAGACTTCTTGATACCATTGGCGTAATTGGAAAAACCAGTCATTCTTTGCAGGCCAATAAGACTTGTTAGTAATTGGAAATCTTTGCCATAGATCTTGAGTAACTGATTGATAAATTCAATCAATATGGCGGCACCTTTGTTAACAACATAACACGAGATAAAAAGAACGGCAAAGGTAGCAATGAACTGATAGACAGGGTTTTCAGACATGTTAGGAGCATCAAATGGGTCTATTTAAAATTAACAAATATAAATTAGAACAAATTTTCTTTAGGTCTGTTTTTAAGAAAACAAAATCATTTATGACTGATCTTCATTAACAAACTCTTCAACGTCTGTCTCGACACCTTCTTCTTCACCACTGCCAGAGTCAGAGTTCATGTCTCTTTCAATATCAGAGTCATTGCCATTGACCTCGCTGATCTCATCGTCTACCGAGACATTGTCAGCCATCATGGTGGCATTTGAATCAGGTGAGTTGGCCTGATTGTCTATTTTTTTGATGGATTCAGATTGACAGGTCGGGATATATACAAATATAGATTAGTTTAGCTTATTGTCTCTACTGGTTTTCAAATATATTTTTTTCTTTTCTTTTCTTACATTGGGTATCAACGTCCATCATTTGTTCTTCTTGCACAGCTGTGTTTCATTAAAATTAAAAAAATAAAGAAGTTATTACTCAGTAATCGAAAAATAAACCCTGAATATAACATACTATTTGCCAATCTTTCAGCTATATCCAGTCTCTCTATTCTCTCAAGCTCATCTTTTCTAATATGGCGCTCAGCGGTTTTGCTTGTCACCAATGAGTATCCCTGTGAATTTCTGCTACATTGAGCACAACGGCAGACAACATTATGGCAGTGGGGGATAGAAGGCATTTTATGTGTTTTGTTTGATGTGATTTATTGAAAATAAAAAGAGGAACAAGCTTAAAATATACTTTATTTGCACCAACTTTATAGTAAAAAAAAGCATTATATTTTATGGTTGTTTAATTAAATTCTTCTAACAAGTTCTTTTCTATATTATTAAATATAGAAAGAGACATGACAATTATGATATTATCAATTCATAGTCTTTATTCAAATGTTTTCAAGAATGCTTGTTGTGTGTAAAAGACATATATTTTTCTACTATGAGTTTATAAATAGATTATTGCGAGAGTAAATCCAGAAAATAGTAGGAATAAAAAAAAAGGGGTGGTAGAATGAGAATTATGATAGGTCTCTGTATGTGAATTTAGCCTTCCATACCAGACTGATATTCTAAAATTCTGTTAGCCAATGAAACCAACTAAAACTATATCTTTGACCTGAACTTCAAAAAACACACTGAGTTGAAAAAAATCACTATTTCTACACATGTGTTTACCAACCTGGCCACATTGTTAATCAGGGCGGTTTTTCCAGTGATTATTATCTCAAATACAAACATAATATCAATATAAACTTATATACCAAATAGCAATAGAGAATTATCTCTCTTTTTATTAATAAACAAAGTCTCATTATAATTTTTATCTGAACTTTGTTTTCTTTTGTTTTCTTTTAAAAATATAACAAATGTAATTCTTGACTATTTATACAAAACAATTGTTGTTTTTTAGCTTTGGTGTATTTTCTTTTAAACCAGAAATTTTAAATTTTGGGACAATTTTTATATTTCAAATACTAATATAAGAAAATAAAATTAAATGTTTGCAAACTTAAGAAAAATCCCAAATATTGAATCTCATGCAGTTACAGTGTCATATACTTACAACAAAATATGTTTCAAATATCAGGTACTATATAGTATTATTATATTAGCAGAATGATTATCTCAGTCTGCCATATAAAATGAATAATCAAGGGCTTATATTTCTCTTCCTCTACTATTAAATTCAAACATTGCATTTTTTTAGGATCTAAACAGTGTTGTTATAAATGCCAGAACTGAATATATTTTCAGTTTACTTTGTTAATAAACAGTTTCTTTACAAAGTAAACCAATAATATATTCAATTTTGACATTTCTGATAATACTTTTTAGGTCTTGAAGAAATCTATTGAAGTTCAATTTTTTTGTATATAAGAAAAATATATCATAAAAAAATAACTATTATAATATGTCTTAGATGGTGACTATCCAGTGATATGTCTATAAGTATATTTGTCATTTTAATATCTAAAGCATAGACGAAAGACTAATTAGCAAAGTCAAGATCTTTTATCCTAAAAAGTCAATCATTACTGGTTGCTTATAACTTCTGATTCTGATCACCATGTCAGAGTTTGATATTGTAGATGCAAATCCTTAAGTCAGATAGCCAATTAGTTATTCCTTTTAACTGTGCCCTCAATGTTATATCAATTCATTTTCCTTTTTTATTAACCAATGTTGTGAC